AATTGTGTATCATATTCATGATGTCTCCTTCAGACAAGACAATGGTGTGTGTATGAGGTGTAGTAAATCAGAGTCCAAGTGAGCACAGAACAAGCATGCTGCATCAAGGTGCTGACAATTTTAAGATCTCCATTTGAATTGGAATTTGTTGCAGAAAGAAGATGGTAACATTCAAAAAATACAAGTGAACAAAGAATCCTAGCTGGGTGGTGGTGGCGCATGCCTTTAATCCCAGCACTTGGGAGGCAGAGCCAGGCAAATCTTTGTGAGTTCGAGTCCAGCCTGGTCTACAAAGTGAGATCCAGAACAGGCTCCAAAGCTACACAGAGAAACCCTGTCTCGAAAAAACCAAAAAAAAAAAAGAAAAAAGAATCCTATCATATTCCTTCTTGCTCATGTTTCTTTCCTGTGACCAATCATTTTCCTAAAAATAACATACAAAGAGCAATCTAGGGTTCTTTCTTTTTAGTCCTTCCTTATGTATCAGTAAGCAGAAGGTAGAGAATATTGTTTAGAATGTATACATATGAAGAAGGGAAATAAAAACAGTTGAATTTGTTTTGTGCTGAGTTTACACAGTTGTGACATCACAAATACATATGGATGTAGAAGCCATGAAATTCCAATTAGGTAATTTTGGTGATTCCACATGAGTGAAATACTGCTATATTTGCATTTAAAACTGCTTTGTACAATATAAAGATGAATGGTGCAATTCATCTAAGAATTTAAATTTTCATTTTTTCCTTAAACTGAATTAAAAAGCAAATTAAACTGGAGATTATATTGTATGTCTATAACTCTAGCACTCAGGAAGCTGGGACAGAAAGACTGTATGTTCCAGGCCAGTCTGGGTTACAAATCAGCAAATTTAGAAAACACCATGACCAGTGGAGGGAGGGAAGATAGGAAGGAGGAGAAGGGAGACAAGGAAGCAATGGCAGCGTAATAGTTTAGTACAGAAAATGACATTTTGTCTCTGTAGTTGAACCAGAGTCTACATTTTCACTTTGCTCTGAGGCTCACAAATCATGCAACTGGACATGACCGGGCTGTTTAAGTAGTAAAGGATTAATGGACACAATTTAGATCACAAATCTTTCAAAGCCAGAGAGCAAGGTCTAGAAAATATGCAACTAGAAACAACTTCCAGGGAAAACAATGCCTAGAAGAATGCACATCTCACATTAGTGTTATTCTTGTGGAAACCCGTCCATACATACCACCTGCAAGCCATCATTTGTAACACCAGAAATAAATGTTATTACTCATCCCAGAAGTATCAGAGACTTTCACCATGGTGTCTGTCAGACCTCATCTTTCTAAATAACAGGTGAATCGTTGTTATTCACTTTTGGTGGCTGGAAATTAAACTACACACTGAAGCCAGTTTCTGATTGTTAGCATTCTTTCCAATTAATTCATATTTAAGTAAATCATTCTGGTGGCTTGGGAGTCACTTTAAAAACTTGAATACTAAATATCAAGGGGTCCACACTCTTTATGGCTGGTATTAAACATTTATCATCATGCCATTAATCCCATGTTAGCACTCTAGCTGCAAGGGAGTCTGAACCAGTTTTTACTTGCCAGCTTCTAAAGTACAAATGAGCAAACTAGAAGGTTGTAGTGGCTAATCTTCATAAAGTGATTAGAGTTAGAATCACCATGGAAACACACGGCATATCTACAAGGGTGTTTTCAGAAAGGTTTAACTGACAAGGAAAGACCCACCCTGACTGTGAACAGCACTATTCTATAAGTTGGGGTCCCTGAATAAATTAAAAGGTGAAACTGAGCTGAGGACTAGAATTCATCTTTCTCTGCTTCCTGACTGGACAAAATATAAGCAGCTACCCCATATTCTTGTTACTATGTCTTCCCCTTAAGGACTATATTCCTTAGAACTTTAAGCCCAAATAAATTCTTCCCTCCTTATGTTTCTTCTTGTCAAGTGTTCCAGCCACACTGAGAAAAGTTGCTAATACAGAATGGACTGGCTGTTGTTGAATAAGAAGCCAGTATGTTCTCCCCAAAATACAGTGGTCTTTGCCTACTATTCCAGATAATCAATCACTAAGAGGCAAATGTTTTAGACTGATTGTTGAAAAGTATTAGTACAGACGGGTAGGAAGGCTCTGAGTAAATGGATAAGATGGTAACTGTCAGTCAATGAGCTAGAATAACTGAAAAATGTTAATTGCTATCATTGAAATACATTTCTTATAATTCTGGCATATAAACTCTGCAAGGATAGATACCATGTCACCATCTCTCTCATTACCTTAACAAATGATAGACATTAAAAAAAAACTATTTAGGCCTGGCGGTGGTGGTGCACACCTTTAGTCCCAATGCTGAGAGGCAGAGCCAGGTGGACCTCTGTGAGTTCCAGGCCAGCTTGATCTACAGCTCGAGATCCAGGACAGGCTCCAAAGCTACACAGAGAAACCTGTCTCGGAAAAAACAAAAACAAAAACAAAACAAAACAAAAATTTAAATTTATGTTTGGCATTTTACATTATTGTACATATAGTAGTCATCTGGATGTGAACTTTCACCCATATTATTAAATTTTGAATCTGATTAATGCCTGAAAAGTTAAAATGATTTTTTTCATCATTTAACAGATGAGAAAATACACTGATATCAGACAAACTCACTTATCTAGTAAATTAAATTTTAAAACAGAGTCACTAACTGAAAAACTTTTTTTTCCCCAGGAAGAATATATTTATAAAAACTATTAAATTGTGGTTAGGAGACTGTTATCAGGTTTTTTATTTGATAACTAACTTTAAATTACATGTAATGGAAATAATATTCCTCATCTAAAGCTGTAAATGTTTTTCAAGAGTGAACATTATTTCCTTGGAGTTCTAGAGGAATGTGAAACATGGCTGTAAGTGCCCTTTGAAAAAGTAAATAATGTTTAAAGAGGCAATGGTCAAGAATCTTGTTCTAGAAAGAGCTACTCTTAATTTGACACTTTTCATCAGTTATAAACAGTATAATTTAAAAATTATGTATGGATTTCATCAAATATAATATAGGATTCTCAATCTTATACTGTTTGAGATACACAGGTGGGGTACAGCTGGCTGGTGGGGTTGCTAAGAAAACAGATTGCCATTTCCCATCCCCCCAAAATGTGAGTTAGTAAGTGACAAAAATATTACAATTTAAAAAATATCCTAAGTGCCACAGAACACCGTGGAAATCACTGACATTGTCAGTTTGACATTCTGCTTATATAAGATACTTATTTTACCAGAAAGCACATTAAGTATGCACACATTCACACACACACACACACACACTGCTGATGAACCTAGGGCTTGTCTGTGGTAGTCTTATTTTAAAATCACTTCTATAGTCTTTTAATACTTAAAATCAATTTTTAAAAATATATTTTATTTTATTTTTATGTGCATTTGTGGTTTTGCCATGGGTGTCAGGGTCCCCTGAAACTGGAGTTATAGACAGGTGTGAGCCATGTGGGTGCTGGAATTGAACTCGGGTCAGTGCTCTTAACCCCTGAGCCATCTCTCCAGCCCTTAAAATCAATTTTTAAAAATTTCCCTTGTACTAGAGCTGTTAGTAGGTTATGCCCTGGTCTTGCCATTTATTATGACGCTCTTGAGGGTAATCTACTACATTGATCGGTCTCAAATCACCCTAAGCATAGATTCGTATTAGCATTTATGTTATAGAAACCTTCTTTCAGTGATGTGTCCCTTTAAGCATTTTGATTTTATGTGAAAACCCACAATGGCTGCAAACAAGCAGCTTTCCACACCACTCCAAATCCAAGGCAATATAACCAACCAGTAAAATGCACCTGTATAATTTTGTAAGTGGGACAGAATGAGCTCTACTTTGGATTGATAATGACTGTCAAGTGTCCTAATTCCAGCGGCAAATTTCAAAGCTGAAACCATAGTTTCTGGTCCTATGACTTAAATCTTTTTTTTTTTGGGGGGGGGTGGAACCCATAAAGATTAATTTTTAAGAGAAGCCCTTCTTTTACACGTGAGAAAACTGAGGCCTCAAGAAACCAAATTATTTGTCCAAGGTCACGCCCAATATTAGTGACCACGCCAGACAAAACCCATAGGTTGTAATTTAACATCCACACCAGTAGCATCTATTCTCCTCACCGCTCTCCCCCACACCCCCCAAAATCCCTAACTGCATCACTCCATCACCGTTCAGGCTCCAAATAAAGTTGTTTTTTGTCTAACGGTCCTACCCCAACCCCCCTTTTGCTTCTGTGTCAACCCGTAGTAAAATCTTGCACAACGTGTACATGAAAACACGGTAGGAGCCTTTTTTTTTTTTTTCTTTATGCCCAAACTGTCTGTGAAAGGCTCTCAGGGCTCAGCCGGCGGCCTTGGAGAGGCGTGGAGGGAGGTGACCCGGGCAAACAAGTCTTTAATGTGTAATTGCTCGCGCCGGAGGGAAACCACAGCGAATGTAAAACTGCGGGGCGGGTGGACAGGGGGGCGGGAGAAAAACACGACGGTGGGAAATCCCTGGGCTGTGTCTCTGCCGCCAACCCTGGGCAAAGCTGGGCAGGGCCGCGCGTGAATACATCTCATTAAGTGGCCGGGCGCAGACACTGCAGCACCGCAGAAGGGAAGGGGGGCGGGGTGTGTGTGCGGGGGGGGGGGGGGGGGGGAGCGAGGCGGAGCGCCAGGCTCGCCCGCCGCGCCGCGGCCGGGGGAGGGAGAGGGAGGAGGGCGCGAGCACCAGGGCGGCCCTTGTAGAGGCCGCGGCCCGCGCGCCCCCGCCCCTCGCGCTGGCCGGGGCTCGGCGCGCTGCGGCCGCGTTCCCTGAGAAGGGCCGGCCGGGCCCGCGCCCCGCCCGGCCTGCCCGCCTGCCCGCTCGCCGGCCTGCCCGCTCGCCCTCCCGCCCTCCCTCCCTCCCTCCCTCCCTCCCGGGCCGCACGCGATCTGCGCCGCGCCTCCTTTCTCCCGCGGGCGGCTTCCCTTCCTTACCTTGTGGAGGGGACAAAAAAAAAACAAAACAAAACAACAACAACAAAAAAAATCCCCTCTCCGCGGCCGCCCCCGCCTCCTCTCTCGGCTGTGACATGGCGGTCGGCGAGGCGAGCGCCAGGAGCCGCCAAACCCCGGCGCCCCTCGGAGCCTATCCATGACATCGGCGCTCCGCCGCCATCCCCGCCCCCCCCACCCCCCCCCCCAGGCCCCGCCGCCGCCGCAGTGACCCGGCCCACAGGCCGAATCATCGATTCCTCGAGCGCGCGCCGCGCCGCGCGGCCCCGGCTTCCCGCCAGCCCCTTCCCTGAGCCGCGCGCTCGAGGCCGGGGGCGGGGGGAGGGGGGGAAGGACACTCCCCCCCAAACTCGCCCCCCCCCCACACCACCCAAAACCGGGTCCCCGCCGCCGGGGCGCGCGCGCGTTCGCCCGCCCGCCCGCCCTCCCGCCGCCACTCTCGCTCGCACGCACACGCACGCACACACACACCACACACACACACGCACACACACACACACACACACGCACCCCTCCTCCCCCCTCCCCCAGTGGTTGCGTCCGTGACATCATCATCATGGCAACAAGAGCTGCAGCCTGGGACCGAGGAGCCCGTGTGATCCCCGGCGGCGGCGGCGGCGGCCGCGGCGACAGCACCAGCGGCACCACCCGACCCGACGAACGCGCCAGGGCTTCGCTCCCGCTGCCTGGGGCCGGGAGCGTCTGAGGAGGAGGAGGAGGAGGAGGAGGAGGAGGAGGACGAGCAGGAGGAGCAGGAGGAGCAGGAGGAGGCGGCGGCAGCAGCACACCCCCAGCCCCGCAGCCCCCCGCAGCCCCGCGCGCGCGCCGCCGCCGCCGCCGCCGCCGCCGCTCGTCTCGGGCGTCCGTGCGAGGGGAGGGGAAAGGGGGAGCCGAACCGAGCAAAAGGGGGAGGAGGCGCCTCTGCGGAGCCGCCGCCGCCGCTGCTGCCAGGTCGCCAGTGGAGGGGAGGCGGTGGCGGCGGCGGCGAACATGTTTTCGGTGAGGATCGTGACTGCCGACTACTACATGGCCAGCCCGCTGCGGGGCCTGGATATCTGCCAGTCCCCCCTCACCCAGCTCCCGGTCAAGAAGGTGCCGGTGGTACGAGTCTTCGGAGCGACCCCGGCAGGTAAGCGGGAGCGGGAGCGGGAGCGGGCGGGCGGGCGGGCGAGCGCCGGGGCGCCGGGGCTGCCCTCCCCGCCGCGCACTCGCGCGCACGCCGCCGGCCCTCGCCGGGGTCGCTGCGGAGTCTCCCCTCTTCTTCGCCTGGCTCGCCCTTGTCTCCCGCGCGTGACAGGAGGCGCACAATTAAATAAAATTAAAAAAAAAAAGAAATGTGGGTTCGTGCGAGCGCTGCGCCCCCCCCCCCCTCCCCTCCGCGGCAGAGAGGCAGCGGGCGCCGGGGATGGACTGCGCGAGCGGCGGGCGGGCTAGGTCCCTGGCTCGGTGGGCTCGGTGGGCACGGTGGGCACGGTGGGCTCGGTGGCGGTGCCTCGTCCCCCCCACCACCACCACCAAGGACGAGTTCGCGGGTCCTTAGAGGTCGGTCGCTGATGGGACCCCGGGCCCTCGCTGCATCTCCCCAGTGCCCTGTTCTCGATAGCAATGGCTTGGAGAGCAGAGGCGAAGTGTCAGCCCCGATGTCAGTCGCGCCCCGTCGCCGGCTTCTCACCCTCGCTCTCCTCTGCCCCTGCCGGAGAGGCTGTGGCTGGTAGAAAGTGGCGCCCGGGGCCCCATAATCTTTCTCATTGAAGTGACCATGTGGCTGCTGTGCAGCGAGTGCAGGTCGTGACGGGGACAGAGCGGCATCCTCAGGTGCCAGGCTTTCAGGAAATGGGCATCCATGGAGATTGGACATACGTGTTTGTGTCGCCCGACCTAAAACATACTACACTTAATGGAGGGGAATTCGTTAGCAAACACAGCCAAGCTCAGCAGCGTGGACGGTTTACAGTGCCTCTAGGCTGGGTTGTGGGGTTGCATTTTAAAAATAGATTTAGAAAAAAAAAACTATTTAGAAGAAATGGTGGGGGAAAAAATGACAAGCTATGTTCTGGAACGCTCGTTGGGATTTATAATACAAATAGGATAGTGGCCACCTGTCCAAGGTTTTTGTGTGTTTTTTTTTTTATTTTTCAGTTTTGCTTTTTACGTGTTTTAAACTCTAAACGTGAAATGATAAAGCCGTGTCCTGGAGGGGGATGTTCTCACCAAGGTGTTGCCCTCTGGGATTGTAGATAGCATTTCCCACTTGATGCACCTCGTCCTCATCGCCATTCATCTTTATTACTACAGCCCACGTCTGTGGACTACCAAGATTATAATACACTTCCCAAAATACAGGCACCCATTCTAAGCTACTACCTTTTAGCGTGAATTCTCTTTGTTAAAAATGTCAGTGCTATAAATAAGATTTGGTAAAAGACTCCTTTTTAAAATAGTGGAAGTTTGACGCTTGTGAACCGTGGAGGATAGAGAATTTGAATACTGTTAGCAGTTGGTGGAGAGTACAGCCCTTGGGACTCGGAAGACTGGAACATAAGAGGCATTATAGTGTTCTGGAGGATAGATAGGTTTTCTCCCCTTTTAAACATCGTGGTGCTGTCTTTGTTTTGATTCGAAGTCTTGGAGTAATACGCTGCCTGTTCTCCCTTCAGCTGTGGAGAATGATAGTGAAGTTGACTTTCAAGTCGTCGAGCAACATGCTAATAGGCTATGTTGTGGTGTTCCAGTTTGTACGGTGGTTGAGTTACTTTGCTACCGTTTTGTTTTTCCTGCTACACTCACCAAATATGTGTCTCTGGGTGATTTAAAACTGTATCATGTAGGAAAGTTTTGTTTGTGGAAAGACATGAATTTCACTAACAGCACAATTCTGTGAAGGAATATCCTTTACAAATAGTAATATTTGTATATGGTATATACACTTGTGTTTCTGAATATTGGAATGTGAAGTATTTCATAAGAAATATTTATCTCTTTTCTTCCTGAATATCTTACAATAGGTCACCAGCCCCTAATTAAAAAAAGAAAAATCCACTGTTTTTATGGTGTTCTATGAAATGAATAATGTAAATGAAGAAAAAAATACTTTTCATACAAGCAAAACCAAACTTCGAGTTGCTAAGGATTGAAATCAGGTTGAAAGAGGTATAATTCACAGACTTAAAAAATTTGTTTCAAGCATGACACATGGATGAATGTAAATGTCAGTTTAGGACTCAGTAATCCATGCATTAATATATGTTAATAATTTACTTGGTTGGTATATGCCTTGGAACTGAGGTCAAGAGAGAAAACAATAAAATAATTCCTTACATAGTATAAAACAAATCTTGTTTCCACAACAAGAAGAAAATTGAAGGCCTTGGCATACACTCAACAGCTACAGTTTTCATAAATCAAGCATTTTTAATGTCAGAAACTCCCAGTGGAATTAATATTATATTCAATCTCAAGAAAAACTAAGCTGCAGAATTTTCTGCTTTTGAATTCTCTTCCCAAAGAAAACTAGTCCAGGCCATGTAGAGAAATAAAACTTGAAAATAATTAATGTACTACAGAGGCCAGAATATTTTATTAAAAAATCTAATGCTTGTCTGGTGTGGTGATGCACGCTTTAATCCCAGCACTTGGGAGGTAGAGGTAGGTGGATCTCTGAGTTCAAGGCCAGCCTGTTCTACAGAGCAAGTTCCAGGACAGCTAGGGCTGTTAGACAGAGACCTTGTCTTGGGGGGAAAAATCTGAATGCTAGAATTTGTATTGAAAACAAATTTACTAGTACAAAATGCAGGTAGTTCATATCTTTACTAACAAGCAAAGACAAGAATGAAAATTTGTAACATCTGATAAGTTCATGAAGCGCCATAAACATCTTCAGTTTATAGGTGTCAATTTTGGAAGTCATTAATTCTTTATTTTGGTTTGGAAAAAAGATTTTTTTAAACAGAATTTGCTTTTCGAAGAAGGTCCTGAATAATAGCATCAGAAGAAAATTTCTCTCAAAATGACTATATAAGAATTATAAATTCTGAACTGATTGGAATACTGCTATTGCATGAAAAATAATTTTCTGCTTTAGGAAACAGTCCAGTTAACTTTTGTTGTCCTGTTTTAAGGACATATTTTGCGTAAAGTAAAAAAAAAAAAGTCTTGGATTTAAAAGCCTCTGTGTTTTGAGTTGAAGTCACTTTATTTTATTTTCATGTGAATGATGGAATTACTATTAAAAAACCCATTGGCTGGGCGTGGTGGCCCATGCCTTTAATCCCAGCACTCAGGAGGCAGAGCCAGGCGGATCTCTATGAGTTCGAGGCCAGCCTGGTCTACAGAGTGAGATCCAGGACAAGCACCAAAGCTACACAGAGAAACCCTGTCTCGAAAAACCAATAAAACAAAACCAAACCCTTTGTTCTTTCAAACTCATTAAAAATTTTTACATGTGTGTGTGTGTGTGTGTGTGTGTGTGTGTGTGTGTGTGTGTGTGTATGTGTACATGTACTCAAGCACCATGTTGTATGCGTGGAGGTCAGAGGGAATCCTTCCGCCATGGGAGTTCTTTTACCAGTTGAGCCTTCTCATTGGCCCTAGACTCATTTTGTAAAAAAGTATTGAACAGCCCGGCGGTGGTGGCGCACGCCTTTAATCCCAGCACTCAGGAGGCAGAGCCAGGTGGATCTATGTGAGTTCGAGGCCAGCCTGGTCTGCAGAGCGAGATCCAGGACAGGCGCAAAGCTACACAGAGAAACCATGTCTCGAAAAAAGTCTTGAACATTATTTTGATGCAGCTGTGTCCCAAACATTATCATTTGTAGGGAAAAAAGTCTTTTTCTTTTATAACAGCATTCTAGTAATTTGTCTTAGTGGAAGAAGGCAAGATTATGGCTAAAGTGTGGGATACTGCCTTTTCATTGATATCTGAATGTGGGTGTGACAACTCGGGAATTCACATAAAATCCTGCTGAGGACCTGACTCAGGTGAGGAACTGGATTCTGTCTAGTTTCCAGGCCTCATCTCTTGCTTCATTGCTTGATGTAGCTCCCCTCCTGCTGAGCTTAGACAAATCTCCCTTTCCTCAGCACCAGGTGAAACCTAATTATCCTTTCAAAGGGTTTCCCCGCTGAGATGCAGAGTAGGAGTAAATAGAAGAGCA